TTTATATCATTGTGTTATTCTTATTATCTATATATTATTATATTATTCTTATTTTATGTTTTTATGTTTATATTATTTAGATTTTCTTATTGTTATTCTTTTCTATTTAGATGTATTTGAATATTCATCTTTATCATCTTTATATTATTATCATTTATATCTATTTTCATTTTATATTTATTTTCATTTTATATTAATATTAAATTTATCTTTTATACTTTGATTTTATTATTATATCATTGATTATCATTTCTCCTTTTATTTATCATTTATTCTTATTATTCTTTTGTTTTATATTCTATATCATATATTCATATCATTTTCATTTATATTTTATCACTTATTATATTTTATAATAACATAACACATATGATTGATTATATAATAAACATCATAATGAAATTATACATATAAATAATAAACATAAAAAAGAGTAAAATATTTTTCAATAATAAAATAATATTAATTATTTTACATCATTAAATTAGACACTTTTATTGAATATTTCTAATTTTTACATTAAAAATACACTTTTTATTTCTTCTTTTCTTATTTTATTACATCTTTGTGATTTATTATTTTTATATTCTTCTTCTACTTTCTTTTTATTCTTTTATATATTTATATTCTTTTTATATTATTTGTTTTCGTTGTTGTTTCTATTTCTTTCTTCTATTATTTATCAATTTTATATTCATTTATTCTTTTTTTTTATTTCTTTTTTATTAATTCTTGAGTATTGTATATTTCTTTGATATTTCATTTGTGTATTATCAAAATATATGTTTTATTGATTTTATGTTGAACAAAATATTAAATAATTCAATATTTTCATTCTTAATTATTCATTCTTTATTCTGAAATGTTGTGTATATTTATTATATTAAATGAATATGATGAATGAATATCAATATTATTGTTTATTTGATTTTAAAAAATAATAAATGAATATGAAATAATGAAATAAAATAATGAAGACAATGAAATGATAATGAAATAGAATAATCTAATATTGAACAAATCAAATAAAGAATATATTGAATATATCATTATTGTTACTTTATTATTTATTATTTCAATTATTAAATATTAATAAATTATTATTCATGAATATTTAATTGATATTTTACAATTTCATTTTCATTTTATTTAATAAATGAAATATAAATAATAAATGAATGAATAATAATTTAATATATGAAATAATAAAAAGAAAAGAAAGATAAATAATAAAGAAATATGATGTATTTAATATATAATATAATTTATTATCAAATATAATAATAATATCAAATGATGATTTATTTTTATTTCAAAATATTTTGCATCAATAAAATATGTTGCTAAATATTTTGCATCATTAATTTTTGCGCTTTTTTTTATTGCGCTTTTTTTATTTGTTGAAATAAAATTTGCATCCTTTATTTTTTTCATTCTATTCTTCTTTTATCATCTCTTTTGTTTTATTACACTTTATCTTCTTTCTTTTTATATTCTCTCCTTTCTACTTTTATTCTTTCTTCATCTTCTTCGACTTTTTACTTTCTTTTTATTCTTTTATATCATTCATTCTCTTCTTTTTCAATTATTTGCTTTTTTTCGTTGCCAAAATTTCTTGATACTTACTTCCATCTCTATTTATTTTATTACTTCAATAATAATTTAATGGAATATTTCAATTACTTTCTTCCAGTTACACGCATTTTTTTAATAAGAAATACAACAAAAATTAGAATGAATAAGTAAAGAAGAAGATTTGAAGATATACATAAAAGAAGAAATTAAAAGACAAAGAAGAAATAAAATATATCACAACAAAAGAATAACAATTAAGTGTTTTTTAACAAAAGAAATTTAAAAAATATCACCTTAAAAAAAAACACAGAAAAAAATAGGAAAATTGAAATAAGAAACTTAAAGAAGAAAATTAGGTACTATTAATAGATATAAAACAAATCAAGAAAATCCCCTAAAAAAAATAATAACTTTGGTTGTGTCATTGTGAAGCTTATTCACCCCATTACTTTAAAGAAATCCAAACAATAAAACTCAAAAAATATTCTTTTGAAAGTTTGATATTTTTCTTTTTTTCAAAAAATAAAAAGATCTTGAAAATATAAATAAAATGGGCGATTATGATGAGAATTTTTTTGAACAACCAAACCAATTTTTAACGTCTTTTTCTAACTCTGACACTCAGAGGTGTGAGCAACAACAAACATTAAGTCAATTAGATATTAATATTAGGGATTTTTATGGAAATGCTAGAGGAATATTAAGATTGCCCACAGTCTTTCAGATGAGTACTGGCTGTTTTTATTCAACAAAAGACATGCTCACTCTTTTAGCTTCATTAAATTATACCTATCTGTTAAAGATACAAAACACAACATTCTCTGGACGTTTTATGATTGTACAAAGTGGTTTTGTTTTCTTAACAGAACAAGAATTAAATGACAAAGAAGTTATTCCCATGCTTGTTCCTCCTTTCTGAATAAGTGAAGGAATTTTTTATGGTTTTTTATTTTTTAACGAAATAAATAACCGTTTGTTTTATTTATAACATGTGTTTTTAATATGTTTTGGCATTTCTTCCTTTTCTGTTTTTGGTTTATTTTTAATAACAACAAAAGTGAATAAACAATAAAATAATTTAAGAAGAATATGAATTATTAATAAATAAAAATAAAACAAAATATTAAACAATTATAAAAATATTATTAATATATTTCATTATCTAATTTTGTTTAAATGACTAAATTATAATTTGATATTATTTGAATTATAAAAAGGCTTTTGATAATATCTTCAAATGGGTTGATTGATTAATTCAATTTTTATAACTCGTTATTTTTGTTTTTGATAATGTTGATGACCAACGTTGTTATATTTATTACTTCCAGTTATTAAATAGAATATATTAAAAATAAGACAAGTATTATGAGAATAATCCATTTTGAATATGTCAAAACTTAAAACACCAAAAAGTGGAACAATGAATATAAACCATCTCCAAAATATTGTACTTGTTAATAATTTGGAATATTCATAAAGTTTCATTTAACAATGTTTAGCAGAAAGGAAATATAGAATTAATAATTAGATTATATTAATTTAAATATCAAATAACATAATAGGTATTTTAATCAATATTTATTATTATTTGGTAAATTAAAGAATAATTTTATATTAATAGCAATTAATTAAGTATTAATAGAACTAGCTTCTATTCTTCCTGGCTCAGGGGAGACTAATCCCGTCCCTTCGTCTTCATCTTCTTCTAGCAGCTCTACGGAGTATGTTTGATTGTGATCTCCGCAGTATTTCATGACATCCATCATGTTTTTTATTACAAGGTTTTTAATTTCTTTCTCTATGTTAATCTCAATTTTTAATTCTTTAATTAATTTATTACTTTCTTTATTTATTAATCCATTTATTGAGATTACTACTGGAATTATTTTGACATCTTTTAGTTTCTCTATTTTCATTAGCCTATTCTTTAATTCCTTATACATATTTCTTTTTTTCCAATAGGCTCCATTAATATTGTGATCAGCCACAATAGTCATATCAAATAATAAACAAGTTTTATTCTTTTTATCTAATACATATATGTCTGGTATTTTGTGGTATTGTCATTCACTTTTATGCATTATTTGTTTGTTCCATATCATTGTGATATCTTTATATTTGAACACTGTTTCATATGGTGGTTTTTATATTATTTATTTCATGTATATTTTCTTATTAATCAATATTATAATGCCATTATTGTCATGTTTTTCCATTTGTGATTTTTTATGACTAATACAAGATAGTAGAATGTGTTCTACTGTAGCTATCTTGTCTTTACAAAGTGTTTAGTATTTTATTCATTCATTTTTCATTATTTTTGATTTTCTATACCCACAAAATATTGCTCCATCTTGCATTTTAGTTAATTGTATGAATGATTTTTCTTAATATTGATGGATTTCCATGATTTCACTGTAGTAGTTTTATCTACTCCTTTTGACTCGAACCATCTTCTAAAATATCTACTAATTTGATGACACTTCCATTTTTTGATGTTATTTGTTGGTCAATAATTTTTTATTTCTACTACTACTTCTTTTTCTTTTTTCTTTTCTATAAATTCATTTATTATTTCTTCTATTTTTGTTTCATTGATTTTATGAATTAATGTTTTTTAATTCTATTCCACATTCCCTTCTTACTGTACCATCTATCTAATATGTTATTTCTTATTTCACTTTCTCTGGTACAGTAGTACATCACTGTTTTTACTAATTCAATAACATATTCGTCTCTTATATTTATTAATCCTTCACCCATTTCTTCTAGAGGGACATATAACCTATCTTTGGAGTTTCACCATGTATTTTGCCTTTCTTAAATATTTTCTTATCTCCAAATCTATTTTATCTAGGTCAGTGATTTTCCAATTTACAACTGATGCTGAATATCTGAAGATAGTGATTACTTCCGTGTTTATTCTAGTAATATATCTTCTATTACTACTTTCATCAGTGTTTATTTCTTCCATCTTTTTCATCATTTTTTCTTTGATGGTTTTACAATTGAAGGTGTCATCAATTTCGTCGGACTGCCATATTCCTAAGTATTTATACAAGTCATCACCTTCAACTATAGGGATGTTTTGCATTCCATTTGGTATTTCCTTAATGTTTTTTAATACCATTCCTGACTTTTTCTCATTCATTTCCATCCCTATTCCACTTATTATTTCTTTAATTTCATTGTGGATTATTCCCATTTCTTCACTACTTTCCGTCATTATTCTCAAATCATCCATATATAATGTGTGATTTGCTTTTGGGAATTTCTCTTCGATGATTTGAGAAATTACATTCATCTGAATGATGAAGAGTAGATTTGATAAGGAATCACCTTGTAAAATTCCTCTATTTAATTTAATACATCCTAGATATTCATTAAATTTATAACCGATGAATATCTTCCATCTAGTCATCATACTTTCAATAATGTCAATGATGACTCCCTCTACATTAAAATATTTTAATGATTCAATAACCCATTCGTGGTTTACTGTGTCATATGCTTTCTTAATGTCATAATATGACTCCACATATTTTGGGTATTTCTCTTCTTTCTGCTGTTTTAACATATAACTATTAATTATTCCTTCTTTAGCAGCTAAAGATTGCAACTTACATCCCAGTTGATTTCTACTAATTTTAAATGATTCATTATTCATGTTAAGTCTTCTGTGAATATTTTCTTTTAATATGGAGGTAAATACTTTCATAATTACATTTGTACAACTGATATGACGATAATTAGTGACATCATTCATATCACTTTGTGGATTAATAAAGTTTTTCCACTTACCATGTCTAATGGGATGTTTTGAATGAAGTTCAACCATTCATTAAAGATATTGAGAATGATTTCTCTTGATGATGACATTCTTTTCCAATAATACCCATATATAGTGTCTATTCCTGGTGTTTTCCAGTTACTTATTTTCTTTAAACTGAAATTTAATTCATTTAATGTTATTATGACACTATCATAATTGAAATATCTTTCATTCCACGAGGTGATTTGTTTTATTTTCCAATTTTCTTTATTTAATCTCACCTGTGTTTCATTTAACATTTCCAATATTCTAAAGTAATCTCGTTATTTGGGTATATTTCATTCTTTATTTCTTCCTTATTCTAATTTTCTTGTTAGAATCAAACATGATTTTATTTGTATTGATTCTGATTATTTCATCTTTATTAAATTTAATTCTTTCTTTGATCATTGTCATCATATATTTTAGGTGCTTTATTCTTTCTAGTGTTTTATTTTTAATATTTTATTCATCATGTTCTTTTAATTTCATGATGCACTTTATTCTGTACCATTTCCTTCCCTTGACCAAATCTTCTAGTCTATTTATTTTCTTTAGGATTTCTTTTATTTCATCAAATTTATCTCTTATTATTTTATTTTGGAGATAGAGGTGCATAACCATTGAAATCCTCTTCATATCATCTTGCAGATCCTGCATTCTGCTTCCTGACATTATCCATCTATTATTAATTTCATTTATTAATCGGTCGGCTTCTTTTCTTTTCCAGTAGTAATTAATGTTTGAACATTTTTCTATTTTCATTTCTTTTACTTTATTGATGAGAGTGTTAAGGTATTCTTCATCAATTTCTGTAGAGTTATTCTTTAATATGATGTTTTTTATTATTGAATCACACTCTACTCTTCCTTCCATTATATCATTTACTTTCACTTTAATGTACCGTTTAGTGCTTTCTTTTATTTTATGTGATATTTTAATATATTTAATATATTCTTTTTCATTATTTACATTGATTTTTATTACTTTTATTATACTTTCAATTTGTTCATTTCTTATTTTCTTATATAATTTCTTATTTAACCAATTAATTGCAAAACAATACAACACTTCAATTAGAATTCTATTTGTTTGTTCTGTTGTATTTCTTGTCTGATTATCATCTCTTGTTTTTTGACAATCAGTGCTTTGCTTTTCTCTTCGATTTCCACTACTGTCTTTTTCATAGGAGTAGTTTCGTTCATCTCCATCGTTCCCGATGATGCTTTCCTCAATACTGGTTGTGTATTTATCACAAGTGTCATCGTTTTCTTCTTCTCTAGTTCCTTCTGTGAAATAAAATTTTCAATATCATCTTGTTGTTTTGATATTATTTGTTTTTGTGCTTCATTTTCTTTTTGTGTGTTGTCTAGTTCTTCTCTTGTTATTTCTGCAATTTCTTGGTTTTTAATTACAATTTCTTGATACTCAGAGATTTGTTTTTCTTTATCTCTTATTTCTTTCTTTAATTCTTTAGTATTTTCCTCTATCATTTCAATTTTCTTCTCTAATGTGTTTGCATTTTGTTCTAGCGTTTTGTTTCTCTTTTTCAACTTTTCAATTTCTTCTTTCATTTCTTCTTTTTCTTTTTCCATCTTCTTTTTATTAGCTTGGATGCTTCGGATTTTTTCTTCTTTATTATTTACTTCTGTGATTTTCTTTCCTTCTATCTCATTTATTTTTCCTTGTAGTTTTAAGTTTTCTTCTTCTAATTTTTCATTTTCTTTCTTCATTTCTTCATAATTCGTTTGAATCTTTTTAATTTGTGTTTTCATTTCTATAATTTCTTCTTCAAATTCTTTCCTAACTATTTCTTTTGCTTTTTTCATCATTTCTTCTGAAATGGCTTGTTCTTCTTCCATTTTTTCCATACTGAATTCTTTAACTTTTTCTTTTAATTCAGTAATTTGATTTTTAAGTGCAAGTATTTCTTCTTTTTCTTTTTCTTCTTCTATCTTTTCTTCTTTATTTTTTGTTTCTTCTTGTATTTTCATTATACTTTCTTTGCTATTTATTATTCTTGCAATTTTACATCTATCATTCATTTCTTTGATTGGATTTTGTTTTTAATTTCTGCCTCTATAGCCTTAATGTCTTTTTCCTCCCAA